TATTAAAATCAAAATAGATTCCCTTTCTAAAATTGGGCAAAATGGGGCAAGATGTCTCAAGAAGTAAAGGCATTTGCCACCTAAGCATGGTGAGCAGAGTTGACCCAGGACCCACACAGAAGGGGAGAACCGACTTCTAAAGTTATCCCAACTCAAACACACCCAGTGCTCACACTGAGCCCCCCTCACTCATGTATACTAAATAAGCTAAAACTGAACAAAGGCGTTTACAAAGTTGCATACACTTTGACACCCACTTGCCTGTTATCTTTCTGTGGGCCCACCTCAGGGGCGCTTCCTCAGAAACTCTACAAAAGCACATCTCCTACCAGGCTTTAAGGGAAAGACCATGTCTCCTTACTCCCTACATTCCTCAGTACCTAGCAGTGCATTTTACAGAGTAACAAAACAGCCCAAGAATTTAAAGCTCTGTGTTAATACACATAATCAACTAGACACTCATAACTGAGTTAATGAGCTGACAATCTGACAGGTTTTTATTTACAAAGCTATTTCCTGACTTTTTTTGGTTTTTCGAGACAGGGTTTCTCTGTATTGTTTTGGAGGCTGTCGGTCCAGCCTGGCCTCGAACTCACAGAGATCCACCTGCCTCTGCCTCCCAAGTGCTGGGATTAAAGGCGTGCGCCACCACTGCCCGGCTATTTCCTGACTTTTAAACTCTGAATCACATACATTTCAAAAATGTTCACCAAAATATGGCATTAAGATGGAGAGAGAGAGAGAGAGAGAGAGAGAGAGAGAGAGAGAGAGAGAGAGAGAGAGAGAGAGATACAGTAGTCCAGGATGGACCTCTACACACTTCTGCCTCAACTTACTGACAGTGCTGGAAATACAGGTACAAGCCTGAACGTTTTGCTGTTTCTTTGGATGGAACTGGCTAGCATTAAATTACTAGGCTCAGGGGATCCTCCAGCAGTAACAGAAGAGTGGCTACACCTAATAGCCAAGCGACACCATACCTGACTCCTTTTATCTTCCTTTGGTGGTGAAATCCAGAGCCTTATGATGCAGGTTAACCATGCACTGCAAAGCCGAAGACGCAGCTTAGCTGGTACATGCTTACCCAGCAAGTGTGAGGCTCGGGTTCAAGTCCTTATACTCCGTAAATCAGGCTTGCTTGTAAGCAGGGAAGTGAAAAGGAGGAAATCACCAGCTCAAGGTCACTCTTGGTCACCAAGGCCAACCAGAGATACCTAAACACTGTCTCAAAAAGAACAAGAAGCCCAACAGCATGGTCTCTACAACTGCACAGCTGCAGCCCCGGTCAGAGACCGTTCAAAAAGTAAACACAGAAAACAGACAACAAATGGGTTTGGTGCGTAAGAAACAGAACTAGATATTGTTGCTACAGAGAACATAAAGTGACTGGGTGCTACCACCTGGAAATGTTTGCTAAGCAAAATGAAGTGAAAAGAGGCCTTGCAATTCTCCCCAGTGAAGTCACAGAGCAAACAGGACATCACCGTTGTGGGACTGCCACCTCCACAGACACATTCCTGAAAAGGTAGGAGCCTATGCCCCACCCCTTCTCCCAGCCTACGTGGTGCTACCTCAAGGTGCTGGAGTTGGCTCAGTCCCCGAATGTGCTCATGACCCAATGGAAATACTGTCACACCAAGGGTAAGTCTCCCACCAGTTCCAGGCCACCCAACTCTAGACCTTACTGAAGGTCAGGATCAGGGAAACTCCAATGCCTGGATGAGTTGTGGCCACCTCCAGTTCTTGACTGGCTGGCTGACTAGATAAGAATGGCTTTTACATTTTTAAGTGGTGGTAGTGGCAGGGTTTCAAGGAATTATATTTCATGACACATGAAAATTATATGAAATTCAAATGTCAGTGTCCATAAATAAGGCTTTAATTGGAACACTGCCACAACCACTTGATTAGCTGGTTTTCAAATGACAATTGTGGTAGTGACAGATCGTATAGCTGGCTAAGCCGACAATGTTTTCTAACTGACCCTTTACTTTGGAGAATGTATGCTAACCCTGGCCTAGAGCGTTTCTCTGTGTCCTTGGCTGCATCCATTTTTCTCAAGAGGGGTTCAGTGCTTGATCTTGACAGGTGTTCATCTTGGGGCTGTGTAGTCCAAAGTTACATCATCTGTATTCTACAGAGCAATTGGTTAGAGTTGGGAGAAGTTACTTTGTGCAAAGAAGCCTGGAAAAGCAAGGAGAAGGCAAGAACATTACAGGTAGCACAGCTCTGACCTACACTAGACTACTACAGTCAGTTCTGGGTCATACATCTGAGGAAAAGAACTGCAGAGAATGTGGAAGACAGATGATTAAAGAGCTCAAAACGAGATCACTAAAAAATGCTAGGCTAGGTGTGGTGTCACAGAAGGGAGATGGCTGTAGGGAAACAGATGGGTGGCAGCAGGTGTGAGGCCAGCCTAGTGCACATAGTTGAGTCCAAGTCAGCCAAGAATCGGTACCATGATCCTGTCTCAAAAACAAGGCTGAGGCCAGATAGTGCGGCGCACACCTTCAGTCCCATCACTCTGGAGGCAGATTGGGCAAATCTGAGTTTGAAGCCTGCCTGGTCTATAGACTGAGTTCTCATACAGCCAGGGCTACACAGAGAAACCATCTCAAAAAAAAACAAATGAAGCTGAAAGAAACAGGATTAGCTGGCCAAAAGAAGAGAGAGGTAAGTAAAAACCTGGGATCCTACCCTATATTTGCTGATGTGTCAAATCCCTCCAGATGAAGATTACTGCCTGAAATAATATACTACAAAACACAGACATACCTCGAGAACAGATGTGACATTGAAACTATTATCCCTGCACGAGGCCAGAACTAGACCCTTAAACTACAATTGTCTGTTGGCACACAACTTTAATTATAGTTTCGGGAAGGCAGAGGCAGGCAGAATCTGTGGCCAGGCCAGCCAGGGCTACTTAATGAGACCCTGTCTCAAAGTAAATAAATAATAAATTTAGTTAATGTATGCATATAAATATAAACTCACTTGTCCAACGCTGTACAACATCTTCAACACACCCATTTAAGAAACATCTGGCATTAAGTTGCCAAAAAAGGTACTGCAGATTTCAGGATGTCAAGTAACTAAAAGGCAACACAAGTTTTATAAAAGCACACTTTCCAGGGCCAAACAGGGAAACACAGGCTTAAATTACAGTGTGTGCTTTATAGAAGGATATTATATCTATCTAAGCCATTTTAATTACTCTAACACACCATCTGAGGGTAAAGAACTCTTTTTCCAGGCTACTGCTCATTAAGAACATTCTGGATCTGGAGGGGCAAAGATCTCAAGACATCCAACTCTCTAAATTGCTATTCTGTTATTTTAATCTAGTTCCTGAATTAGAGCCTGCAGCCCATGCTCACTTTCATTTTGTCTTGAAGGTGGTCAATACACCTACTGCTGCAATTTAAAACTAACCCTAACATCTCCAAATGGAATAGATTATAACCTTAACTACAACTGTTTTCAAATTACAGCGATAAGGGACACATTCCCATTAAGTATACAGAATGGTTTGTGGGAACAGAGTTCTAAATTTCTGTTCCTGTTTGGGGATAAAATAAGTAACGTGCTATTCCTAAACTTCAACAGTTAGTAATAAAAAATGCCCCCAAGAAGTCTCTTTCCTAATTTTTTTTAAATACAGAATTCGTGAACACAAAATGTTCGGAGTCAATCTCAATCTTGTCATTAGATATGCAAATTCCCAAACTTGCCCTAAACATATGTTAATCAATGAGAGTTTTACAACCTAGAAAATCCACGCTGTGTATTTCCCTAAGAATGCCTTTCCTCGGTGAAGCACACCCTAGAGTCGGCCTCCACAAACTTTCTCCACTCCCAGAACACCTATCCTGGACTTGAGAATCTAAAGGACACGGTACTTTCAAGTCACTTCTACAATATTCCATTAACCGCTGTGAAATAAACTTTTCCCTAAGTCGGGTGACTACTTTTTAATGTAAAACCTGCCGTAGTGAAACAAAGAGCACATAGCCCCCTCCCCCTTCCTAAACCATATGGTAGCAAATTCAAGTTAACTTATTTTTCACCAGTTCATCGCCGATCCGTCGGCCTTAAAACACTTGTGCCTTTGTGCCGTGGGGCTGAGACGTGAGTGGTCTGATTCGTAGCCACAGAACCCTAGCTTGTTTTCACAGGGCACCGCGGAAGTCCAAACGCCCCCCGGCCGTAAGCCTGCTTCGGTGGGCAGCGCACGCAGGTGAGGGCCCGGGGCTGGCCGGGAGCGAGTTCCGCCCCGACCGAGTGACGGAGCAGGGAGTTTGCTCGCCGCGGCCGGGCTGAATCCGCCCCGGGAACTTGCCTTACCCGAGCCCAGGGACGCGCCGAGGCCTACCGCGAGGCCGGGCGAGCTCCAGTCAGCGAGGGCTGCCCGGGCCGCGGCGCCTTCCCGCCCGCACCGCCGCGGCCCTCAGGCGGGGCGGTCGCTCGTCCGTAGTCCTCCCGAACCCCGGACGCGTCCGCCGGGCCCGGACCCTTATTCCCCTGCCGCGGCCGCACGCCCGCGACCCGGCTTAGCCACCGCGCTGGGCTCTTCCGGGAGCCGCCGCAGCTAGGCCGCGCTGGGGCCCCGCGGTGCCCTCGGCCCGGCCGGCCAGGCCTCGGCGTCCGGTATGAGTCCCGAGAGCCTGGCTCCCGCCGGTAACGGGCCCCGCCGCCTCCCCTCCCCTCTCCCGCCCCATGACAGTGCAAAGCCTCCGGCCGCTCGGCCGCCCCGCCTCCGGCTCCAGGCCCAGCTCAGGGCCGCCGCCGCAAGCCACGGTTGCGGCCGCCGCTCCCGCTCTCGCTCGCTCTTCGGGTCACGGTCGCCTCGGGGCCCCTAGCCCCGCGACTCGGGCTCGACCCGCGTCCCCGCCGGTGCCCCGCTGCCCTCGGCAGCGCCCGGACCCCGGGCGGGGTAGGCCGAGGCCCAGGCGGTGGGGGCGGGGGCTCGGCTCTCACCTTCATGTCGGGACATCCTAGTTCAGACGCTGGCGGCGCGGCCCCTCCCGGGCTCCCGGCTGCAGTGTGCCCCCACCGCGGGCTCCCGGCGCTGCCCGCGCCCAGCCGGCCGACTCCCACTCGACTCCCGGGCTCGGCCGCGGGGGCGGGGTGGGCAGGGGAGCGCTCCCGCGGCGGCGGCGGCGGCGGCAGCGGCGGCGGCGGCGGCGGGGAGGCGGCGCGGGGCGGGAATGGGGCCGGGCCTGGCCGGGGCTGAGCTCCTCCAGGAGGCGGGTCCGACGCGGCCGCGGCTCCGCCGGCGCCCGCCGTGACTCGGTCACTCTTGGGCCCCCGCCGGCTCCCGGCAGCGGCGCGGCGTCCGCAAATCCCGCTCGTCCCCTCCCCCGGCCCGCCCCCCGCCCGTCTCCCGGCTCGGGCCGCCGCCTCCTCCTCCTCTTCCTCCTCTTCCGCCTCCTTCCGCCCGCCCGCACGCCCGCCCCGCCTCTCGCCGCCCCGAGGCCCCGCGGCCGGCGGGCGACTGTGCTCGGCGGCGGCCCGGCCGCGGTCCCCGCAGCACCCGAGCCCAGCCGCGGCCCGCCACGCTGCGCGTGGGGAGGACGAGGACGCGAAACGCCCGGGAGGTGGCTCCCCAGCGCCCAGGCGCGCGGCTGCCGGGCCGTCGCGGACCGCTCGGGGACGTGTGTTTGTGTGCTCCTTTAAAGCGGGGGACTCGGAAGGGAAAGGCGGACGGGCCTCCGGGCCTTGCGTGTCTTCAGGCCCCGCGCGGAGGCCGCGGCCGAGGTCTACCGAGCCACCTCGGCTGGAGGCTGGGTTGCCCGGCCGCCGCTCGCCCCAATGCGCTGCGGGGAAAAACTTGGTGGGCTTCGGGGCTGCTTTGCTTTCTCCGCTCGGGGACTGCTTTTCTGTGTGGCGTGTGTGTATGTGTTTGTCCTTTCCGCCAGCCTCACCCGGGCTCCTCACAGTCAACTTTCTTTTCAGGCATTACTAATTCAACAAATACTTCAGACTGCCCCCGACCACGTGTCAGTGGTGGCGTGGCGTAGGGAGATCGCGCCCTGTAGTTAAGACCTGTTCAGCCCTGGGACTTCCTCCGCTCCTGATATGCACGGTGTAACCTTGGACAAGGGACTTAACCTTGCGGCGCCTCCGCTCTATCTTGTTCGCTTTCGGTAGTGAATTTTGTCCTTGGCCGCTCGAAATTGGACAAAGTTGCCAGCTAAGTTTACTGAAACTGGGTTCCGGAATGCTGCTTGCTTTGGCGATTTTCCTAGCCTGCCCAGCCTCCGCTGACTGTGTGGCCTGGTTCAAGCGTTGATTGCCTTGGCTTCTGTGGCTTTCTGAAAGGGCATACATACCTAAATAGATGCAGAAGAAGAGGTACAGTACCAAAATATAGCATGTAAGCTCTCTAGCAGAGGAAGGACCCTGTTCGTTACAATATTTTATTGAATATGATTTAAGGTACACCTGCTTTTAAAAATACTCAAAAGTTTAATTCGAGGAAATACGTAGTAGATCACCCCCATCTGCCCAAGGAACTGTATACAGCAGTTATCACTGAGAAATAAACCAGGGTTTGGTGGGTTTTTTTGTTTTTAACTTGGGGGTTTTGTTTGAGGAAAAACCTCATGTAGCCAAGCCTGTCCATGAATCACTTATGTAGCTGAGGATGACCTTGAACTCCTGATCTTCCTGCCTTCCCCCACCTCCCAAATTGTGATATTATAGACATCTTTCATCACACTCCCAGCTAACTTGGGTTTAAATGAGGACTGGATCACCAGAAATACCCATTTCGTGTATGGAATTCCCACACGGATGTTGGAGGAAGAGGTTCAAGCTAAAAGAAAGTAAGGGTTACATAGAGCAGGGTTTGTAGTTGGCCTGCCTAACAGTGACACCCGTTAGTGGGCAAGATCCTTCCAGCCGTTTTTAAATTACTGGCAAGGGATTTGGGGTATCAGTCCAGTCCCTGAACTTCTTGAACTGTGAAAATCAGGCTAGCAGCTTTTAACAATGCATGTATACCACTATCCTAAGTGAATGGTGTGATTTTATATAAATTTATATCAAGGTTTTTAAGCAGTCCTGTAAAAATGCTGGAACAGTTAGGGTGGCCAACAAAAGCAACACCTCCAGGGAGGAAAACCAGTAAATATGAAAAATTGGACAAGACTAGGAGACTATTTAGGAAGAGGAAGGGACCTGGAGCTGGGAGGTGGCGTGCGCTCCAAGTATGGGAAGAAGTTCTAATGAAACTCAGTATTATGGACATGAATACTGCTAAGGCAAAGAAACATTGAAAGACAAGTTTTATTGTGTTGGGGAACAAATATGCAGTTCTGTCTGACATTCAAGGAACTACCATCAGTTCTCTGACAGTAATTCAGTTTTCAATTGCACAAAAGTAAGAAAATTAAGAACCTTTTATTCCAGTAAGGTTATACTGGATCATTACCATAGCTATGAGGTTTTACCAATTTCAGAGGTTGGGCCTTTAAGTTCAAAACAAAACAAAGCCCAGCCTCCTTAAAGGGTGGTGGTAAGTTCCTGGAACTTCAGCTCAGAAAGTTCCAAGCAGAAATTCTTGCCTGGGCTGGCTACGTAACTGAAGAGCTTGCTATTGAATTCAGTTCTTAGGATCTATATGGTGAAGGAGAGAACAAACTCCTATGCCGGGCGTTGGTGGTGCACGTGCACGCCTTTAATCCCAGCACTCAGAAGGCAGAGGCAGGCCGATCTCTGTGAGTTTGAGGCCAGCCTGGTCGGTCTACAGAGCAAGTTCCAGGACAGCCTCCAAAGCAATACAGAGAAACCCTGTCTCGAAAAACAGAACAAAAAAAACCTCCTATACGTTGTCCTCCAACCTCCATGCTCATGCACTCACACAAAATTCAAGGCCTGACCCTGCCTCATAAATATAAATAAAATCATTTGTCTGCCTTGCTGCCATATGTGAGATACTATTAAAAAAAAAAAGAATCATCTGGTGTGGTATAGTTGTAGGTTCAAGGCTAGCCTGAGCTGTGTGTGTGTGTGTGTGTGTGTGTGTGTGTGTGTGTGTGTGTGTGTGTGTGTGTCTTTATGCCAAATTGCTCAGTAAATGAATTTTGTTTTTCAGTTTAGTACTCTCCTGCCTCAGCTTCCCAGACTCTGGGATTACAGGCACAGATCACCATGTTCAACCACTTACCTGATGTTTCTGTTGAAGTTTAGTACCCCAGGTTAGCCTTGAACTCTCCAGATCTTCCTGTTCCCACCTCCCAATGCTGACTTGTTTCCCACCCTTGAAATGTTTCCTCCCAGCAGTGTCTCTCCCTATGCCTCTTTGATCTCTCCTGTCACTTGTAAGTGACAAGTGTCTTTTCCAAGCTAACCTATGTTCATGGATGGCCCAGTTGTGTTCTTTAAAACAAGCAGTCAAATACATTCTAATGAGATTCAAATAAAGTCTGTAGTGCATCATATAATATAATATCGGGTTCGTGGGGATTGAAACTCTGACCCTCACACTTGATAGCAAGTGGTTTACCCACTGAGCCATCTTCCTAACCCACATAAAGCAGTCTAAGAGGTTCTGGGGGTAAGGCTCAGGAGTGAGAGTGTACCCTGCTCTTGCAGAGACTTCCTATCGCCTTCATCGGTGACTCACAACCACTCAGAACTCCAGCTTCTGGGGGACCTGATGCCACTGCCGTTCATGGGTACCTGTGCTCATACCCCCACAAACACACGACTATACACATAATTTAATAAAAAATAAATTAGAAGGGACTGGAGAGATGGTTCAGTGGCTAATTTGAGTGTGGTGCTTACAGAGGACCTGAGCTGGGTTCCCAGCCTGGTGGCTCACAACCACTGTAACTCCAGTTCCAGGACTGACGAGATTGTAGTTCAGTTTGTAAAATGCTTGCCTAGCATGCAGGAAGTCCTGGGTTTGATCTTTTTCCCTATAAACCAGGTGTAGTTCAAACAACACTCTGTAGGTGGTGGCAGGATGATTAGGATTTCAAGGTCATCCTTAGTTTTGTAGTTTAAGGACAGCTGAGTTACTGGAGACTCAAAAAATCAAGGAAGTGAAGAGAGTGTCCTCGGAGTGCTACAACTATATCACACCCTCCAGCAGGATAGGGGACCAATGTGCAAGAGAGCAGAGACTGTAAGAGCCAAAGGTCAGGGAGGCCAGGAATGAAATCTCACTGTGACAGTACCAGTGCATTCAAGAACTCCAGCAGGGGTGGTGGCCAGCACCAGGTCAAGCCAGGCATCAACCAGCTTGGAGAGAAAGATTCATAAACTCCGCCCCTCATTGAGTAGCTTAGGACACTTGATGGCTTCTCCAGGAAGGAAAGTGAGTTTTCTCTAAGGGTGTGGCTCCTGGTAGGTTAACCATGTTCCGGTGGATGGCCCCACACCCAGAAATATATGAGCAACACAAATGAGACCTGATGGGTTATTAAAAATTGTAAAAGAAAGTCGGGAGGTGGTGGCCAATGCCTTTAATTCCAGCACTTAGGACAACAACAAAATTATAAAAGAAGACACTTGGGATAGGAAGCTGGGATGGATCTAGGAGGAGCTAGAGGAGTAATAGGAATGAATATGATGAAAATATTGTATATAAAATTCTGAAAGACTAAGAAAAAAAATAAGGGCTTCCTGGGTATGATAGTTTACACCTTTAATCCCAGCACTTGGGTGGCAGAGGGAGGTGGATCTCTGAGTTCAAGGCCAGCCTGGTCTACAAAGAGTTCTAGGACAGCCAGGGCTGTTACACAGAGAAACCCTGTCTTGAAAATGCAAAAACAAATCCCAGCACTCCAGAGGCAGAGGCAGGCCTGGTCTACAGAGTGAGTTCCAGGACAGGTTCCAAAGCCATAGAGAAACCCTATCTCAGAACGCCCTCCCTGCCCCCCCCAAAATGAAAAACCAAAGCAAAAAAGAAAAATCAAAAAAAAAAAAAAAAAAAAAAAAACAGCCCCACAAGGGGCTGGAAAGATAGTTTAAAAGTATTGGCTGCTCTTGCAGATGACCTGGATTCCATTCTCAAGCCCCACTTGGTGGCTCACAGTTGTCTGTAACTCCAGGTCCAGATAATCTGGAATCCTCTTCTGTCCTCTTTCTGCTGCAGGCGCACATGCTGTGCACACATCCACATTCAGGCAACACATATATACGCATAAAGCTTCTAAGATCTTGAGTAACGATGGGTAACATGCCCAACAGTTAAGAGCACTCACTGCTTTTACAGAGGACCATTATTCAGTTCCAGTACCACATGGAGGCTCACGGCCCTCTGTAACTCCAATTCCACAGGATCTGATGCCTCTGGAGGTCCTGCACACATGGTACATTTACATACATAGCAGCAACTCTCACACACATAAAATAATTTTTAGCAATCTTAAATAAAAATCTGAGAACAGTACGGCCAACAAAGACAAAAACTGCTCAGCCGTTCCGAGTATGTTTCTAACAGTAACAAACTACACATCCATCATTTAAACTTCTGTGCCCTGCACCCCAAGCACATTGTGATCAGCGAAGCAATGTTTGAAAGAACTTTGTATGCTGAGCATGGTGGAGGCCCAGAATCACAGCACTTTGGAGATGGAGGCAGGAGGATCAGATCAAGATCACCTTTGCTACATAGTGAGTTTGAGGCCAACCTAGGCTACATCAAACACTGTTCAAAATACTAAATAAACACTCTTCAAAACACTTGCAATGGCCATGCTAATCTATTCTGTACCCTTCCAATTTTCAGTGTATGGTCAAGTGATACTGGGAAGGAATTATTACTCAGTTGATCCAGGACAGGAAACTTTTTTTTTTTTTTTTTTTGGTTTTTTGAAATAGGGTTTCTCTGTGGCTTTGGAGGCTGTCCTGGAACTAGCTCTTGTAGATCAGGCTGGTTTCGAACTCAGAGATCCTCCTGCCTCTGCCTCCCGAGTGCTAGGATTAAAGGCATGCGCCGCCACC